TGGAGATGAACGGGTTGATCAACTGGCCAGCCTTGTGCCATCTCTTCGTGCGAACTGCCACCTTCGACCCAAACCGTAGCATTGGTTGCACCGGAACGCCTAGTCTGCTGAGCTGCTGTCTGCATCTCTCCTCTGCTGCATGGCGAATCGCACCTGGCCACAGTTCTGGTTCCACTTGTGCCTGATGGATGATCAGCCTCATGCGTCTCTTAACTTGTTGCACTTCTGCTTCTGCACGGCCATTGGCCTGTGGATCATCGCCCTGCGTGAAGGTCTGTACCAGGTGTCTGTGGCCGCACCAATTTGACACCCTCCTCGACAGCATGCCCTTCTCCCTGTCGCTATGCAGTCTCATCACATTGATGCCCAGACACCTGAACCTTGCATAAAGTCGGGACAAGCCTCCCAGGAGCGAATCCACACCTCTGTCTTCCATCACCTCCACCATTGTAATGTTCTGCAGCTGATGGGGCCTCCGAAGCTCATCGATCTCTTCACGACCAATCACCTGCTCCTCACCCTCCTCAACCAACTGCTGATCTTCTAACTCTGGTGGATCTTGACGGCCATCACGTTCTAGGTCTTCCTCCTCGAGGTCCTCTTGATCCAAAGAAGGCACGTCCCTCACCTGCTCCTCAGTGAGATCCTCTTCTTCGGCCGGTTCCCCCGGCAGATGGTCCGGCACCGGCAGCGGCACCGTTCCCAACAAAGCGTACTTGGCCATTCTTCCAGTTGCAGGATCTTTCCCCACTGGGAATGGTCCAATAATGTCCACCGCCAAGGTGTATGCAGAAGACGCTGTCCTGGATCTCCGATGTGGATTTTGTGTACCCATTGCTTCCAGACAGGTTCTGCAGTCCCGCCTGAAGGGCGTGCGCTGCATCCGCACATGTCGCCGCCATTGGTCCATATCCAATCGCGCCACCTTGCAGTTCTCATCCTCCTCAAGCATACTCCTCAATGCCAGCTGGATGGCCTTGACAAAGCCCGGCGACCATTCTGACCAGCTTCTCGATGCTGCCATCCTCTGACTCAAATCACCTCCGACTGGGTTGGTGCTTCCTCCTCCTTGGCATAGTTCCAGCTGCTCCAGCATAGGCAAGTTCGACAACACCCCCGTCGGCTTCCTCCGTGGATGACCTGTCGCTCCCTGGTCGAAGTTGATCATCCTCATAGTCTCATCTTCCTCCAACAGCTGTTGCAGTTGAGGCCACTCAAAATAGGATGGATTCTGCCGATCCTCCTCCGACTCCAAATAGGATGCTGGATCCCTTGGCGACTCCAGCAAGAAGCCTGTCAATCGGCCCATCTGCTGTCCCTGTTTGGCCAGCTTCCAAAGCGCAACCTGCTTGAGAACCAGCGTGGTGTCGTTCGCGACCATCTGAGCCTCCTTAGGAGTTAGATCCTCCAACCCCCACCTCAGATCACCTCTTGCTCTGACTTTGCGAGGTCCCGGTGGCCCACGATTCCGCAACCTGCTGACTGTTCTGCATGGAGGACCTCCCAAAACTGCCTTGATTCGGCCCTGCTTGGCCAACCAGCACAAATATCCCCACACTTGAGGCGAGTGGAGATCATACCTCGACCCAAGGAGCGGGTCCACGAACAGCCAGGTGTACCCAGAGGGCAGCGAGTCCTTCCACCTCTTCACATTGGTACCGGAGAACAGGTGCACAATGATTCCCTTTGAAGTCTGATGCATTCTCCTCTGCCTCCGGTTCCATGGAAGATCATCTCCCGCCGGACACCATGACTGGCCCTTCATGAACTCCAACAGCTCCCCCGGGACCCCAGGGATGTTCTCCTCCCACCACTGAGCGTCCTCGGCCGTGATGCTGTAGTGCCCCCTTTCCAGCTCCTCAAACTCCTTGAGCATCGCAAGAGCTGCAGTCCTTTTCATCACTGGACAACCCCCCCGGAGCCAACATAGTATCGGCCCTTGCCGAGGATGGTTGATTGTGCATCCATTCGCCGACCAGTCAATCCGAAAGCCATGTTGTACCAACAAGCTCAATGGAATGATCGGCTCAACCTCGTCCAAAGACAGCAATGTGCTGCATCCTCTCCTTTCGAAACAGCGTGGTCGACCCATGAGCGAGCTCCACCTGAACCGGAATAAGGTGGTTCTTCTCCCCGACCTCCGCCATCCTCAGTGGATGAGTTGCACCTCCATCCAACAAGGCCACTTCGCCCTCCCTCTCGGCATCAGGCTGTATCCTGCAAATCTGCCTCAGCCTGCAAGCCTTGAGCGCTCTCAATGATTTGAGCAAACTTGTAGCTTCTGCTATCAATGCCGTCGCCGACTCTGCACTCCCCGTCGAAGCTTCTCCACCACCTGCAACCTTCTCCCCCTCCCGACTCCTTGACACCTGTGTGCTCTTCAAGGACCCCGAAGTCTGTTGGGAAGAAGTCGTAGTGGCGTTCTCCTCCTTCGGCTTATCTGGGGCTTCCAGGTCACTCACTGGCAACTCCTTGGTGGGCATAGGATTCTTCACCTTTGCCACCTTCTTTGAATCCTTTTGATCTCGTTCACGTCGAGTGGGACACTCTCGCGACATGTGCCCTTCCCCGCTGCAAACAAAACACCGATTCTGCTTATTGATGCCTTCCCACGAATGCCCATAGGTGCATTGATCCCCCTCCTGCAGCCCTGAGCAGACCCCCAGAACTTGCAAGAGGCCTTTTGCTTCTCTTCTGTGGAGCTCGTGGTGTTGAATGCCGCCACTTTTGGAGCTGTTCCTCCAGCTGTGGACATGTTCACATTCGTACCTGCTGCAGGCGTCTTTGAAGAGCCAGTCATCAGCGCCAGATCCTCAGCCTCCGCCTGCACATACTCTGCATACTCCATGATGGATTCCATCGTCGGACACTGATCCACTGCAAGATCTTGCCTTGCTGTTGCCATTCTGAATGAGACCTGAGCACCACCATGTCGACCCAGGGCTTCTGTGACCCTGTTCAGCACTTGCACCAGCACCAAAGGGTCCGGTGTAGTCAGGCCCAACTCCTGTGCACGCTGGATCCATCGCCTCCATTGGCGAATTCCAGACAAAACGTCTGCCACCCCATTGCCCACCTTCAGCTCGGTGATGCTCTTGAGGAGCGCAGTTCTCTCAGCTGAACCCCCTGGTTGAAAAATGGTGTACAGCCGAAACAGAATTCCGAGGCAGCTCACCTTTCTAGAGGCGATGACATCCCTTCGAACTTGATCGGGAAGAACCCCCAATAGGATAGTCACTCCCCGGTGCTCAACTCGCTCATAACTGGGGTGCAAAGGCCGATCAACCTTAAGCCTTAGCCTCTCCCGCGGCTTCAACTTCAGCCAAGTCTCATACAGCGCCTCCGCCTCCATGATGTTCGCTTGCCACCAACCCCTCGCAGAGGAAGACAGGTCCGACATAAGAGGCATCGCCACCGTCAGCCAATCGCCGAAAGCCAGCGAAGCACCATCGCTGCCAGGAGATGGTAGAGGTGGTAACTCCAAGCTTCTAAACACTTCATTCACGGTCCCCTGAGGCGGTTCAGACCTGTTCAACGGACCCTCACACACACCCTCTTTCAGCAACCCTGGTGGACGCTCAAGACCATGTGATTGAGACCCTCGACCATCGCCACGAGTCGATTCGCCCCCATTGCCTCCTCCGCCCGGTCCCATCACCCCGACCGTTGACCGCCCAGGCTCTCGGTCAGCACTTGGAACCGACTCGAAGGATGATGACTCTGCTCCACCAGTGGCCTTCTTGATCTCCTTCGCAAAGAGATTCTCGGCCTCCCTGAGGACCTTGTCCCTGATGGCCTCCACATCAACATAGTTTGGCGACCTTCTGACTTCCCCTTGCGGCATCCCTTCAGGCACCACCCCACTTTCACCAGGATGAGCTCGTGCTTGTGTGCTCCAAAAAGGGTTGACATTCACCCCACTCATTGGGGGAGGGGTAGCCATGGGATAAGGTTCCAGAACCCTCGGTTGTGGTCCCAATTCACTCGTGGGGCCATAGCTCAAAGGTCCTCCTCGGGGTGGAATTGGACACTGTGGCGATCCAAAGACACTCCCATGCCCAGCATGAACTCCAGGACCGGTACCGGCTAGATGTCCCAGATCGTGGTGTTGAAGTAGGGGTGCAAGTAGCCCTTGACCTTGAGAATTTCCACCAAAGGCTCGCTGCAAAACATCTAAGGACTGCCTGACCGAGTCCAGCAATCCCGGTGCTGACTCAGCCGCGACTTGTCCTGGCCCAATTGGCTGAGCCACCTGAACTTGTGGTTCTCTGCTCGGCCTTCTCACCGAGGATGTAGTTGTTGCTTGCCCACCCTGCTCCGGAGCTGCAGCCAGCCTTCTAACCGCTGCCGTCCTCGCCGGCACCGATGCCGCTCTGCCTTCTTGCTCCTCCAGCAGCGCTTGCAGGCGCTCATCCGCCGCCCCCACTCGAAGTCGCCCTTCTCGATCTTCAGGATCCTGCAGGCGCTCTCCTTCGCGGGAGGAGCGCCGCCGCCGCCCAGCGAAGCCACTCATGGCGGCCAACAACCCTGATCCACAGGGGTGGACTTCAAAAGGGAAAAACAGGTCGTTGGGCTCATAACCTGAGTTTCCAAAAACGGACGATGCTTTTCTTGAGCCATGAACAGCGTTTGTTGGTGCTAAGTGGTGTATGTCACACCTATGATCACATCAAGTGAAAATGCAGGGATTCACAGAAACAAATGCGAAAATAAAGCGAAAAAAGGCGAAAACAAAGCGAACAAAAGTCAGAAAAAAACGACAAACACACACAGATACTTGTTTTGCTTTGTTTTGCTTTACCATTTGCTTTTTTTGCTTTAAAAAATATGTTGGCTCCTTGTATCTATGGCTGGCGTACCCAACTCAACACTAGTGGAGAATCGTGCGGGCTCTAAGGAAGCAAAACCTTAAGATCTGTCTGTGCACCTGTTGAATACTTCAGTTTTATTGGGCGGGGGTTTCTTTCCCCAACATCAAACACATGTGCGGTCCCAGTTGCGAGCCATGGCGCCGATGAGGCTGTCGCGATGGCGATGACCACACCTGGGAGACGGTATACCGCTATTATACCCGCTGGCCTTGCCCTTGGCACTCTGACCCAAGTAGTTGGGGCATGTCACACTTCCGGAATATCTTGGCTTTAGGCGCCACAGAAATATCGTTGGCGTAAGTTGCCAAGCGGAAAAAGGAGAGCTTCTCAAAAAACAGTGCGTCATTCCGGGACCAACGGCTGTTGGGCGCAAAGTCAGAGCCCAAAGGAACTTTTGCTTGGTGTCTTGATGGCCCAAACGCTTGCCAACACTTGCGCCGCAACTCAATCTATGCCTCAAAAAGTCTCAACCTTATGGCCCAAACAAGGATGCTAACGCAACCCAAGTGGCAGGTCATACGCGTGCACGATAACTGTCGGATCCTCGCAGCGATTGAGGCTTGAGGTGGTTCGCATAAATCTTTTCCACCAGCTGTCACGAATACCGGGGTGGGAGATAATGCCTTGGTTAGTACACCGGTGGCCAAAATGGCGACCTGCAGGCACCCGGCATGTTAGCATGAAAACTTTTCTGTTGCTTCAGTTGAACGATGTTAAACAGTCACAGTGGCAAAAAGTGTTTCAGCTGAAGCCATTCACGAGGCAGGCGAATTGTTTTGGCAGGGGTGCCATTGGAGCAAGGATCGGCAGCATCGGCTCTTCTTTTGAGACTTCGCAAAGCCCAAATCAGCGGTTCGGAACCCCACAGAAAGTGAATGACAAGAATCTGGAGGTCGGAAGTCCAAAGGTTGACGCCTCACATCCCTCTCCCAGCCAACTCCTTATTGGCAGCAAACTGCCATGTTGGAGCAGCAAACTGCCACCTTGGAGAAGCAGCCTGAAGGAACGCGCGATGACTGTCTGACTGGAGACGAGGATGATGTGACAGAGACGCCTAAGGCCTAAGACATTGTGTTTGCTAGGGCCCATCTAGATCTTGAATGGATGTGGAGCGCCCATTGATGCAACACGCAAGACCTCACAAAAACCAATGAACGCCTAGAAAGGAGATTGGGCCAATTCTTGTTTGTTCTTCAAGAAGATGACGCCGGACCACTTTGGTGCAAGAGTTCGAAAAAATTGCGCACTTCACCTCAAGCTGTATGCAAATCAGGTTTCTTCAACAGATATAGGGCACATACCCTTCTCTTCCCGAAAAAAGGATGTCTCTGAGGGAATTGATGATGGCAACCCGCCTCAAAAATCTTGGGATATCAAATCTTAAGTATTTGGGCAGGAACCTGGCCACCACAATTATCACCACAACCATCGGGCGGGTTGCCTGTTACATCGGTGAAAGACATGAGTTTGCAGCAGCTCACCAATTCAATAAACGTGCCCCTTCTGAGAATCTGCGCAATGGTGCGACATTCTTCTGAGAATCTGCCCCGGGATCTGCTTACAAGAGCCCATTGGGGATGTTCCAAATCTTATCGTTCCCCCCAGGCCGTCATTGCAAGAGAGCAGCGGAGTCAAATTTTCTTGGAAAAAAACGTTCAAAAAAACAAAAGAGAAAAGCAGCGCCTCTTGCACCATTGCTGTTTGGTGAACAAGTTGCACACCTCTCGGTTCATGCTCCAATTTGCGTTGATTGAAGCGCTAGAGAACACTGGCCAAAGGAGCATCACCGGCACCATTGCTGGTTGGGGATGAAGAAGCTGAAGCATGGACCACCCAACTCCCGGTTCATGTTTCAATTTGTTTGTGCCCGTTGGCATCCAGGTTAGGCGTTTTTGTCGTTTGAATGAAGTTTCCCAAACTTGCTTCTTTAAGCTGCGGGTAGGGACATGAGTTTCAGAAGTACTGAGGGACAACAAGCCTTACGCGTCACTCACTCAATTGGACTTGACATCCCTAGCGCGTTCGTGTCACACAGATGCGCTGTTCGGTGGGCTGTCCCAACACCTGTCAAGTTTGTATCACTAGTGTACAAAACCTTTATCTTTGGCTTCCTCGACCTTGAAGAGGGCCTGGCTCAATCAGCACATATCATACAGTGTACAGCACTAAAGAGCGGGCTCTTCAATCCAAGCATGTTCATCTTTGTCGGTTACCCTCTACAACAGGATTGGGAAGTTGTTCAATTCAACAACTTGGGGCTGGTGAACAGAATCTACAGTCCTCGCGGCACATGGCACATCGGTTACCTGTGGTAAGGAGCGATGGAACATTATGATACTGCAAAAAATTTGGTACTGCAAAGGGGTCTGCGGTACTCTCGATTTGTTCGTGTCATCTCGACACTTCATGAACAGGTGTGAGTGCTTTGTTTCTGTTCTCGCACTCTCCCTTTGGTCTCCTGAGCTTTTAGCTAGGATGCCAACACTTCAGTATTCTAGGAAGGGGAACAGGTCTTTTTTCCACGAGTACGGACGCCGTGTGGGCATGGTGCCCAGGTCATCATTGAAGGAAGGGAAGAACAATCAGATGGTGGAGAAAAGGACAAAAACAACCCAACCACAAAACACACAAACCAAACAACCGCAACCCACAGCCCACAGGCCGAGTCTCCACCATCTTGTAGTCTTTCCTCTGTGCTAAGGTGAAACAAGTGAAACGAAAACTACTGACTATCAGTGGGCCTGAATTCTCGAACGAAGATCATGGCAGCGCGGAGTTGTGCTCTAGCAAAGTTTCCAAAAAGTCTTCAAATGGACTTCACATCTCAGTTACCAGTGACCAGCGGCCACTGCACGGTGTGGCAAAAACATGGTCACGATGCAGGTCCCGAGCATAGCTATGCTCCAACGCCGGTTGTATCCATGTCAAAGTGGATCATGGTTGCTATGCTTCATGCCGTGGAAAAAGCCTTTCTTGTGGCACAACCCATTCAACTGATTGCACTTACAAGTCCAGAGGCATATGAGTTAGTGGTGTTCAGACAGTGGCGGTCATAGCAAACGACGAAAGCCTGCAGGTAAGGGTGCGAAAAGCACACCCCCCCGAAGGGAGGTCATCACAGCACCCTTCGGCACCCGGAGGTGCCAAAACGGGGTGTCCCCTAACTCCGTGAAATGCTGCGTCATTGCAAAAAGTGGTCTGTTGCGTGCAAGGCCCGTGTGAAACAGGTGAAACGTTGGACCTATTCTAACATGGTATCTGTACCCCTTTGTACAAAATTGGAAATGTCGGACATCAACAGAGGGAACTACTTGGATGCCCGCGCTGGTTGCTAAACATTTGCCTCGCTTACTACATGTTTAGCCCTTTTATAAACATAGTTAGCGCACGTTTGTCCCACTTAGCTAAACACGTTTATCACCCTTACGCAACCATGTTTAGAGCATTTATAACCATGGTTAGATAAATGTGATAATTGGTACGACCTGCAAAAAAAGAGCCTACACAAAGCTCATTTTCACGATGCCGTATCGCAGATTTTTGAAAAAACGCGAGCTCTCCATGAGCCCTGCGCTTGCGAGCTTTTGCAAAAAAACCCTGCTCGTTCATGGCGCGGTCGAAATTCCCAGACCATGGCCCTACATTTAGCAACGCTCACGTTCAAAAAGCAGGGCCTGTGCGTATGTGGCTCGCTTATTTTCTGACCTGCGCAGGGCCTTCAACGTTGGCTCGCTTCAGTGTAGCGGTACGCTGATCGACCCAGGCTCGATCGTCCAGGACCACATGGTGCATGAGCATCACCTGCCAGCTGGCAGAAAACCATGGTCTGTGACAACTGGTACTGCGCATGAGTCATGACGTTCAAAAACAAGAACCTGTGAGGTGTGAGTGCAATCTTTTTAAGGGACGACGGTTGCCACGTCTCCAGTCACAGAAAATGGGATTGCCCTTTGAAGGCTTCCAGTTGGTACCAACTCTGGGACATCAGTAATTTTGAACTGATTGGGCCCCACGGACTTCCATTTGGAGACGACAGAGTGAAAAGACTCGCCACTGCTGTCTGACACGACTCGCAAGTGGAACCAAACCTCAACAACATGTGAGCTGGTCTTAGCTGCGTCTCCACGGCTGATGCTTTCGTAGTTGCAAAGAGCGTCTTGCGACACAAAAACTTCGAAGGATGAATCCATATTTCGTCCAAGGGTGTGTTTCACCGCATGGGTCAAGGCATCAGAAGCTTTCTGGGCACTGGTAAGCACTACCCCTGCCTTGCAATCCCACTCTTCCGTTTCCAAAAGCTGGGATAAAACAACTTCTTCCAGGATACCATTCTCCCAAGAAAGTCTGGTGTTGCAATTTGTGCTTTGGTTCCCATGTCGTTTCAAGCATCTGTGTTTTCTCTCGTGAACCCAGCAGCTTGTTAGCAAACCGTCCCTTTGTAGAATCAGGGGAAGGTGCAAAGCATAGTGAGCTTTGGGCTGCATGTGTCTAGGCCCGTATGAATCCAATCGGGCAGCCAAGTGCGCCTCAATGGCTTGCCGCAGTTCCTGGGTCAGCTGTGCGTGAGTGACATGCAAGTCATGGCCAAAATGTTCAAAAACCTATGCCAAAAAAACATTTGTCAAAGTTTGTTGAATGAACCCCTTCAAAGTTCAATGGGCGACACGCTCTCGGATCGGGTTCTCTGCAGAAGATCCAACGCGGCAGCTAAACAATAATAGCTGTGGACGGCCTTGGCCGCTGCTCCAACAGATTGCGGGACTTGAGTCATCAGAAAGGCCCGAAGTGTTGGGTAGAGGGACAGACCCTCACTAGCCGAACATGATAGCTGTCCATCCTTCAGCTTCTCAACTGCCCTGATGCCACTAGTCCCTCTTGAGGAAACCTTCTTGGGCCATGACAGGCTCTTCAAATAAACAACAAAGTCCAAGAGCCCCATTGCATGCTCTTGTTTCACCTTGTCGATCAGGAGAGGTACCTCGGAATTCCACAAACCATTGACGAGGTAAACGTGCATCCAGTCAAATGACGTCATGGAAACAACTCCAGGAATAGAGCTCATGAAGTTCTCATCGAAGAGCGCCCCTTCCTGCGCAAACGTCAGACCTAATGATTTTTCTAGCTCTTCAAAGGCGCCCTTCCCCATGCTAGGCCTGTCCGACTTAAGCTTCCTGACAGCTGCCATAACTGATTCATCAGTGTGCAGGACACATCGGTCCAGGCTGCAAACGGAACTTGGCACCAACCAGTTAGATTTGTCGTGAACTGCCACATTCAACAGATGGTTGGTGACATTTTGACAAAATAGGCAAACGAACAGTCCGGAGGAACCTCTGTTGCTCCAGCATTGTTTGAGGGCAGCCTCATCCGCCAAAAGGAGCCCGACCTTGAAGAAACCAAACTTGCAAGGTCCCCTCAAAGGGAGTTGCAGCCCACGCCTGCCATCATAGGGAGGGGTCTGAAACAATTTGCAGATCTGCTTGAAGATCTGCGAATAATGCCCCGCGATCCGCTTAACGTGGCTTGTGCGGCAGATTGCAATTTGCCACCAAAGGCCATCCCTACCCAACTGACCCTTGAATTCCAGCAAGGACCAGTAGAAAGCTACCAGCTTCCGCTGGTTTGTAGGTTTCAGTTGATCTCCTGGAAGTATTTCGTCGCAGTAGAGTGCCACCTTGAAAGGTGTCTCTGCCGTGTTCTTGCAGGATGCCATGACCCCCTCGAAGAAATCCCGAAACGACTCGCATCTTTCCAAAGTGGCACGCAACAAAGCCCACGGGTTCATGACCGGTAATTTGACCATGCCCCCGTCTGTAGTCTGCAGGTCGACGCTGCCATGCAGGGGGCCTAACGGCGTCATGTCCGGCATTGCCTGTCGCCTGGTCCTCTTCAACGTTGGGCGGCTGATGGCATCAGGCAAGCCATGTTCTCTGACAGACTTGAGAACCGCAACTATTCCACTTTGGCTGACGAAAGCGTGGGAAGCAGCAGCCACGTACACGTGGCGTGACGATCGAGAACCTGAGCTCATAAGACTATATTGCGCGAGCCAACTGGATGACCCTGCGCATGCATCCACGAGCCGTGTTTCGGCCCTGTGAGGCAAAATGATTTCAACAAAACTATGTGTTGCATGGGTCTGCAAGAGCTGTACATGCTGTGTTTCAAAGGATCTATGCGTTCGTGGCTATATGCGTCTTGTCTTCAAAGGTCACTGCCAGTTCAAATTGAGCCACTGAAGATCACTGAAGAGTGTGTATTGTTCATTCTCAGCTCGCAGGAGTGAAAACAAACATTGTCGTTTGACAACCTGAGATGGTCACATCGCGTTTAGCTTTCAGGCCGCGCCTGATTGGACCAAGGCCTGAATCATGCGTCAGCAAAAACAGAAGTGCACGCACATGGATACGAGATATGTGTGTGTGTGCGTTTGTGAAGTACCTTTTGGTTGAGAAGAACTCTGGGTGACTGACATGTTTCTTGTTTCAATATTCACTTGAAAAACGTATTGGCTGGCCAAGTCTTCATGATGACAGGACTGTTGTTTCAAAACACGTTTGAAAGGTGCTTGTTCCAAATTGCGCGCACCAAAGCTCTTTTGTGTCAAGGCTTCCACATGACATGTGTGTACTGCGTGACTGCGTGGCACACAGTCTATCTACATTCACAAGCTTCCCAAAGCGCACCTACATGAGCCGTCCCGAACAGGCCTGTTTGGCCATACAGGCTTCACTCCACATCCTCCGGCGCTTCATCGATTAACTGCAAGGCTCGCTGCCACTCAGCGCCGCAATTCTCTTCGTCCAGGATCTTCACTTTCTTGTCACAGCGATCACCGGCGTTCAAAAAGACCCTGAAAGCCCCCGAGTTCCGGTGA